GTGTAAAGTTGATAAACAGACTTACTGATGGCAGGTCCAAGACGCCGTTTCTTGTCGTCGACTTGAATGTTTGTCAATAATTGATTTCCATTTTTACCAGAATTTTCCAAAGCTGTGATCAAAATCTGCGGCGTGGCATAACGTTCTACAATCGCCATAGCTTTGTCTATGGACATGCCTTTCAATTGTAATAATTGACGAATAAACATTTCGCTCACTTTAAACATCTAAACAGAAATATATTGATATATTCAAGTACTTTTTTATATATAATGCATAGTGGAAGATTCCCGATATGTACCCTCTGTTTGAAGAAGATGCTTTATTGAATTCTTTGAACTCCATAAGACGTACTGTTCTGCTTATGTTATCTATTTCAGATGTTCTTTCTTGCATCCAACAAGTTTTTTATCCTAAAATAAAGTTATCATTCAATATAGAGATATTAATATTTACATATTCAATTATAATATTTATACATGCCTTGTAAATTCTGATTAAAATCTTTGTTATACATGATAAGTACGACATAGAATTTTTGTGATTTCTTGTATATTTTACAGTAAAACCATCTTGTACTAGACAATTCACAGAGGCTTGCAACAATGATGGGAGTGGAATAGAAAATCGAAAATGCTTATCAATATTTTCTACTATATACATTAAATTTTCAATACCAGACTGCTTCAATCTAAACTATTGCTTGAAAAATTAAGTCGCGTAATGCGTATGCTATTAATGCTAAAAGAATAAGAGATGCTATTAAGAAATAGCTAATTTCTTAATAGCTAATTTTTTTCCATATTAAAGAGAGAACCTAAGAGACCAATTTCGACATTAAAAGATTAAAAAGAAAAGAACTGAACACACAGGTGACAAATCACATGAACATTAAATTTTCCTCAAATGCAATTACGACGTTATTACGAGGATAAAAGAAACAGGGAATAAAAGGAATCGGTAAGTTGCTACTGTAATTCTCAAAGATGACAAAGCCATTTGGCATAAACGTTATTATAATTTGCTTAGAATACAATCTCTTTTCTCTCTCTCTCTCT